ATTGTACAGCACTTTGCAAAACTATCTCAGGTATGTGATGACGACAAGCTAAATTTAAGAGCGGTTTCTTCGAATCTTTTTCAATTAAGGTGCAAGCTCCTTTGTTTACTCCAGTATTTGTGGCTGTTGTGTCAAAACACATGCCTTTAATTTTGTCTTGTAATTTCCATTCTTTGATGGTTTGACACACAGCTATAGCTTGAGCCTCTCCAGTGCCTTCGAATAAAGCTGGCACATTCAGGAGTTGGTCAATATTTTCTCCAGATACTTAAATTGGTAGTCGATCTACTTTTTTTCTTCCAGTTAACTCTGGCAACAATTTCCCATCCCAATGAACTACGAGAGGTACATCAGCTGAAAAAGATGACAGGATCCTTTCAGCGCCCGATTTACGCAGTTTGGCTCTTGCTGTTCGTACACTTTTCTCATTCAAGGCCATCTCACCGATATTACAGCCCAAACTTTTGGCCGTGTGAGCAACAATGAAAGTTGCTTTTCTGTTACTAACATTAGTTCGGTCCAATGTTGCTGCTAATTCTTCATCAATCACGATTTTTCTACCTCTCTTTTTCGGCACTTTAGACACATCAGCTTGATCACTTTGACCGGGGGTTGGTTCAAAATCTGAGTCAACGCGACATCTTTTCCTAGTTGAAACTTTTTCGGAATCTTCAGCACTTGAATCAGACAGCAACTCGACCGTTTCTGTCAATTTCTTTTTTTCATCGTCAGTTTTTCTTCTCCTCCGAATGATTTCATTTTCACGTTCAGTTTTTCGTTCCTCTTCTAAAGCCAGTTGCTGATCAACACCTGCCATGTAGCCTTGGCGACCTTTCTTTCTCTGAGCGAGTAGAAATTTTTTATCTTCGTCGATTGTCATGGTTTTCAGAGCTTGTGAATGAGCTAAACAGATCGAGCAAATCCTCCGCGTACACTTTAAACTTACTCAAGGTATTTTCGTCGCGTTTATATTCCCTTTTTATCAAACACACATATTGTTTGTACAAACGTTCAACTTTTTCAATACATCGAGACTTTTTATGAGTCGGTATGCGCACTTTATTCCAAAACTCAAGAATATTATCGACCGTGATTTTTGCGCTTTCGCGGATTGTTTTTCGATTTTTAATTCGCTCGAACAAAAATCTGCCTAGCACCTGGTTTTTTGACGGTAGTTTATAACCCCCTATTCTATCAACTTGAGTAATCACCACCAACTTTGAGAACTTTTTAGGAGGCATGGTTACAACATATAGAACATCGACATCGAAAAAAGCAGAACAAGACGCGAGGAACACCCGTCGTGGGGACGAAAGTCAAAATACTGATTGCAAATCTGCAAAAGTCTGGCCAGTATTGCTCCTAGAATAATCAAAATAACCAAAATGTGCTAATGAATACCCCTTTACCCACTATATTGATGAAAAAAGGCAGATTTTATCACATACTTTGACTTCAATGTAGGAGATAACAGATATGTGCTGTGCGCCCCCATAAAACGATGCCAAATGCAAAAGTTATACTACAGATCACTACAGATCTGTTCCTTTTTAAATGGGCGCTATATTTCATTGACAGTTAGGGGAACCTTAAGTAATATGGCAACATTGGTAACTCCCGAGTCGCATCCCGACATCAGATTTTTATTGCCCTGCATTTTAGAGAACTCCAATACTGATAAGCGAGGGAATCGGAATGGTGTGCCCCTTCACCAACTGATCCCCGCGACGGCCTCGATACGGTGCCGTAAGCATATCTTCAGGCCTGTTTGACCTGGGAAAGATGGTGATTTCGTGACAGCTGCTGTAATATTTCGCTAGATTAGGTAATAATTGACTTTTCAGAGTAAAAAACTGCTTAGGTCAGTTAAGCATTATGTTTCTAGAGGCTTAGTTAATTGGGAATAGTATACGGATTTATTCGAAAATTTGAGTTTTTTCGAATACATAAAGCGCGTTAGTGCGAACTCTAAGTATTCGAATTTTAAGCTGAAATTTTTTTTGGGACGTTTTTTAATGATTTTGACCCGATTGGTGATGAGGCACCGTAACATTTCAAAAGTCACAAAATAAGCCGCACCCTAACCTGGGTACCTCTTGCGAGTAAAATATTCCTCTAGACGACGGCCCTAACTGTCTCTTTTGAACCTTGTGCGAAAAGAATCGAGCATCAAAATACATTTCTGAGACAGGAGCAACTGACCCATCATTTGCAGTGGAGCTTAATCGTTCATGTGAATCCCGATCCTAGGTTAGGTCCATCAAATCGTACAAAACTTTTTAATAATTAGGTATTGAAATCATATGAAGTTCTGCATGCATACACTACCATGTGCCATTTTTTAGTGCAGTTACAAAGTTGAGAGGGAGAGGCACTCCTTTGGTGGGACAGAAGATAATCTTTCATCAATTTAGCATTGAAAGGAAGGAGCAGAATCGAGATGGTGGATCTGCTGTTGCCGTCTAAAAGTGAAAATCTTATTTGGAGCGGACTCTTATCACAAATAGAAACTTCCCAACTATTGCAGGCGAGTGCTCCAGTAAGTCTGTAGGAACATCCATGAACATCCTCATACCACCCGCATTTTCCTTGTGTCTTCAAAAGAATGAAGTACACTTAAAGTTTGGTTGCATCTACTTCATCTCTTGTAGGACATCTGAAAGTTGTCTAATCTTAAAATAATGTATCTACGAGGGGCGTTCAATAAGTAAGTATCCCCCCTCTCTAAAATCAATAGGAATGGACCAGTTTTCAAAAACTTGGGCTCAAAATCTTCTTTAGGATATACTGAGTGCAACAAAACAAATCGCAACAAAATCGGACCATGTGCGGCCGAACGCGAGCCGTTTGAACTCGCCGAGGTGCACGCCGCTCCCGCCGAATCCGCGGAGATTTGAAGTCCGCAACAAGAGAAGAGCTTCTCTGCCAACGCTTCAGTCGTTCATCACTGACGAAAAATCAAAGAAGTTTTTGTAGAATAAGGTGCTTACCTCACCTCTCCACATAACCAGCTCGATCCAAGCAGGCCTGAGACTGATTATGAGACTAAGAGAGCAGCTTTTGGATACCGCGCCTGTAGAAGTCATTCAACTGGCTGGGGATGAAAGTGTTGACGGCTTGTTTGACCTCTTCCACTGATTCAAAATGAGTTCCCCCGAGTTCAGATTATAGAAAGGGGAATAAATGGTGGTCTTTTTTGCCATTTATTACCGTATCTAGTATCTGAACGCGGGGGAATTCATTTTGAATCAGTGGAAGAGGTGAAACAAGCCGTCAACACTTTCATCCCCAACCAGTTGAATGACTTCTACAGGCGCGGTATCCAAAAGCTGTTCTCTTAGTCTCATAATCAGTCTCAGGCCTGCTTGGATCGAGCTGGTTATGTGGAGAGGTGAGGTAAGCACCTTATTCTACAAACACTTCTTTGATTTTTCGTCAGTGATGAACGACTGAAGCGTTGGCAGAGAAGCTCTTCTCTTGTTGCGGACTTCAAATCTCCGCGGATTCGGCGGGAGCGGCGTGCACCTCGGCGCGTTCAAACGGCTCGCGTTCGGCCGCACATGGTCCGATTTTGTTGCGATTTGTTTTGTTGAACTCAGTATATCCTAAAGAAGATTTTGAGCCCAAGTTTTTTTTAAAATTGTTCCATTCCTTTCGATTTTAGAGAGGGGGGATACTTACTTATTGAACGCCCCTCGTAGAACCACTATCCTAGTAGCAGTGGTCGCGATAAATTGCGATTTAATCGGAGAATGTATCGCAATTTTATCGACGTCGCGATTTATTGCAATATTATCGGATAAAAAATCGCGATAAATTGCGTTAAAATCGCGATTTCATCGACGGCGATTCATCGCGATATTATCGGGAGAAAAATTGCGATAAATTGTGATAAAATTTCGATTTTATCGAACGCGATTTTATGAAGATAAAATTGCAATTAATTGCAATTTTTCATCAACGCCCACTAACGCATGAGTGACGCTTATGAAATATGTTTCTATGCCGCCGCCGCCGCCGTTTTTACCAGGGTCTGTTGGTAACTTTACCATCTCTTCTTTTTAACCAATTATTGGTAATGTTACTAAGACAGACTGGTAAGCTGACCTAAAAACCGATATTTTTACTGATTTTTTTCAGGTAAGAATACCACTTTTATTGGTAATCAATTCCCTGTTACTTTACCATTTTATCTTGGTAATTCTACCACAGTCGATAAAAAATATTGGCGTTTTTTACCAAGGTCCGTATTTCAAGGTATGAAATAAAATACAGAGTAGGGAAAATAAAAAAAAATCCAATGAAAACTCGGTGTCAGTCTACGCAATGACAAAAGTTGTAATGTTGCGAAGCGCCGATCCACCTAAGGGGCTTCAATTCGCACTTATTAGCCACGTAGTGGCCATAGCCTAGTGGCAATGTGCTGGCCTGCCACCGCTGCGACTCGGGTCCGAATCCCTACGGAGGCTCCGGGGATTTTACGCTCGTCTTCGTAAAAGGACCTGACACCTGGACCTGACGGAAGTCGACTGACAGCGCCAACCCCATTTTTATGGCGATTTTATCGCCGATAAAATCGTAAAAAAATCGCAATTTAATTTCGAAATATCGCGATTTTTCCGTTGAAAAATGCTACGAGGGCAGAGCTTCAACAAAAATGAACCGCTCTACGTATCAGATACTCAATGTATCCTAGCAATCAGTGATTGAATCAGGTTATCCATTAACATTGGATGGCGGGTCCCTGAGTTTTAAATTGTATCGACTGGTGGACTGTGTTTCATTCAGTGGCTCAGACCAGTAAGTAGTAAAGTGGTCAATTTTTAAGTTTTTCTTGGCCCATCCTCCAGAAAGAAGAGTCTAACTCTCATTTTAAATTCGTTCTGTTATCAAATGGTGGTTGATTTATTGTAATGTATCTTAATGTCTGTCTCTATTGACGGTCATTATTTGTAGGTGGATCAATTGGATGATCTGTCTCTCGCTTTGTATTTTTGCAGATCGACACTTCCAGGAACTTGCCATATCAGATGTACATCGCTGCTCAGTGCCATTCGCACTGTGCCTCTCGACATTCCCTGTCTTGTGTGGAAGGAACGTTGGGTAGAGAATCGATGGCTACCTTGAAATCATCAATGACCAGAGTAAATCGTTGAATTATTTAAGCTTCATTTTTATCGGTGGCGAGGGATGATGTCGCATCTTTTGAAAAATGCATTTTTCTTCTCTAAAAATAAACTGAAAAATGGCGTTGTGTCAGTGCTTTTCTGAGAGTGCTGTTCTGCAGCCTGATTGTTGAAATTTTGTCTCTGTTGGGTAGACATAGATGACATAGGTTAAAAGACCGAGCGTGATTGGTCGGCTATGCTTATGCGGGTGGAACTCACGACAAGCTAAAGGCACCTCTTCAGTTTTCAACAGTATGTCATCCATTCCACCTGATAAAGGCATGATAAGCAGCGATAAAACAAAGCCGACCAATCTTGCTCCACCTTCTCACCTATGTCATGTATGTCTACCCGACAACCACAAAATATTAACAATCAGGTTGCGGTTTTGATCAGCTATTAAATCATGGTGCTAATTTTTCTCTTACGTTAAAGAGTGCTTCAGATTTTTCTACAATGCATCCATAGTGTTTTAAGTGTTCCTCCGTACTTATACCAGTTCTAATGGGCCTGTTGCAAACTTTTGCTAGTGCAGAATGAAGAGTTGTTTCTTATAGATAATGCCTCAAAAATCACGATGAGCGCATCGGCAAAGTCTGAAATGCACTCATAAATTCACAATCTGCGTAAGAAAATTGCGTTATTTTGAGCTTCCCGCTTCAAAAACGATACCACTACACAGGTGAACATTTTGTTAGAGGAGTCGCTCCATCGTCGGCAATATTCATCATGGCCGACGCTTGCGCAGTTCCTCGCGTAATTCGAGGAGAGTTCAAGGTCAATTAAGGCGGGCGAGGAAAATATGAACGTAAACACGCCGATTGTTATGTGGTTTAATCCTGTTCAGGTGTTATCTCGTCCCATCACACGTGTTTTGGCGGACTGGCGTCGGCCATGATGAGTATTGCCGCCAATGGAACGACTCCTCTAACAAAATGTTCACCTGTACCGTAGTATCGTTTTCGAAGCGGGAAGCTCAAAAAACCGCAAATTTCTTACGCAGATTGTGAAGTTATGAGTGAATTTCAGACTTTGCCGATGCGCTCATCGTGATTTTTAGGGCATTATCTGTAAGAAACAACTCTTAGTTTTGCTCTAGCAAAAGTTTGCAACAGGCCCATTGTTCGGATTCATTGTTGCAAAGTAGATTTTCCTGACCCAATGGATTACAGATTCGAAGAAGTTGATGTGTGTTATTTGTCCATTTTCTAAACTTTAACTGAGTATGTTTGCATAGCCCAAATATCACGTGCCTCCATGGGGACGCTTCATTCCCATGGGGCCACTTGCTTCTCTGGAAATTTGGGCCATGGTTGGTTGCTATACGCTACTGAACTTTGAATTTTGAACAGTGACTTGATGATAAGAATGCCATTAGACCATAGAGAAAAAAAAGGAGGTGTTTGCATTTCGGGCATCTTGGAATCTTTCATAGAGTATCTATAGCTTTGATGACGTCATTGGGTACAGCGACGTTTTTATCCTGTCGATTTTCTTGGAAATGGTGTAATTTAAGGGAAAAAGTCATTCTATAAAAAGTGCTTGAAATTAAATAAAGAGTTGATTTAAGTAAAAAAATCGGACATTATGGTCCGTTTTTACAGCGTCAACATAACCCTCAACGAGCGTCTTGTTTACATTGATGACGTAGGTGGGTACAAATCCTCAAGATGCAAACACCTCCTTTTTTTTCTCTATGCCATTAGACGAAATTGAGCCGAAAGGCACCAGTGTGAGCTCTTCACATTTTGGTCACAGCTAATTTCTCGCTACCAAACTATGGCTAAATGATCAGAAATTCCATTCAGATTACTTTAAGCATTAATTTTGTTTATTAAATGAGACATTTATATTTTTGTTGTTGTTGTCTTGACTTAAAAGACTACCTAAAATCAGTTTTTTTTTTTTTTTTTTTTTTTTTTACTTTGATCCAAAGAATAAATAAAGACTCATCGATCGAATTGATTCTCTTGAGTAATCATCATTTTCCTTTTCTCTTATGTCTTGATTCTGGAATCTCTTATATCAGGATGTTGATCTGTATTATTATTTTTATATTCCTGTTTATTTTTGGTTTCCTTCATCTCTTTACTAGGATGTATTCTAAGCCTTCGGTATTGTATTCATGTGTAAAAAATAAACAATTTTTAAAAGTACTACATATGCTATCTTTTATACAGGCCACCTAGAAACCTACTTGTTACACATTTAAAATGGTACCCCATCATTTGGGGCATCTACCCCATTTAATACCCATCTAATATGGTATTTAATACTACCCTATTTTATACTTTTAAAAAAGGACACTTTATAGGATATTTTAATATGGTATTTTATACCTCTTTTCAGCTATTTAATACCCTAGTTGATAGGTATTTGAATAGGTATTTTTTACATATCTTAAAAGGTGTTATAAACCATATTTTGGCTACTAGGTAATTATCGTAGTGAGCTTTTGACCCTAAAAATCGATTCTTTGAGCAAAATTACCTTGAAGACGAGCCTCAATCATAGAAACGGTCAAAAGTTGCGGTAGTAGAGGTACAGTTCAGACGTCATTGGAAGGTCTTTCAGCAACAGCTTAGCTTATTCAACCAATATGTCATTTCCAGGATATTTACAACCAACACAGGGTCTCGTTAGACTTATTCTACTGAAAAGACTTTAAGTTTCAATTCATTTTCAGAACTTACCGCCGGGAGGTGACTATTAATCGAGTTGTGCCCGTGTCTCCCCAATCCCATATCTTTCTTTCTTTGAGGCACGTTTAATTGCAATACATCAGTAATAGGGATTATTTCACTCCGATTGGGGGTAACTTCATTGATGTAGCTTTTTCTAGCTAAACCGACGCATACTACTGCAAAGTTTAAAAAGAGATCTTAAATTCTGAAATTGAATCTGCCTTTCCACTGACAAGGTCCCAGTATTTTGACTTAGAACGAATTAAACTATCTCATCGCTCCTTGCCACAAACGAATGCAGAGGTTACAATCACAATTTTTACTCATTTTTCAACACAAAGTATCACACCGAAATTAGGAGAGAGGTTCAATGTGTTCCCACCAGGGACGAAAAGATGCAAGTCCTTGTCACAGGGTTGTTAGCCAAAATATTTTTATCCATTCCCTGACTTCTTCCTGACTAATCAATATGTTTTCCTTACTTTTAAGTATGTATCTGACGCAATCTGTTAAAGTGAAAATGAGAGCATTCCCGACTATTTTAATTTTCAGTAGTTAGTTAACGTGCAAATTTGCAAGGGCTACAGAAAACTGCTTGGTTACGGTGTGTTTCAAAAAATATTTCTGACAATTAAGATTGGACCTTGATGTTCCAGAGAAATGGTTTTTTAACGACAACGAGTAGTGATGAAGAATTAGGGTGCAGGAAGGGCACTTCTCAGAATCAGTGATTCAGAATTTTCTTTGAAATTCCATCCCTTTCAAGGGAAACAAATACTTGTGGACTGAAGACAATTTTACTGAATATTCTCTGTAATTTGATGATGATGTTACCAAAAAGTTGAGGTAAAATGACTAAGTGACTTTCTTATGAAAAAATAAATTTTTGATAGAGATCCTGAAAAACTGCAATGGAGAGGTGCCCTCAATGCTTCACTTTATAAATACGTTATTGGGTACCTAAGGACTTTCTTAATTGTGAAAAATTTTCTGGTAAATTCTAAACCATATTCTAAAAAATATATAAAGTTGACGGTGTAATGGTAATACACATTATTTTTTCATGACACAATTTTTCAATCATACGTACTTTCGTGCCACCATTTGATCTTGATGGCAAACTCGTTATGAGCTTCTACAGGGACCAGTTACATAGGACCCTGGACTTCCATAAAAGCCAATGTAAAAATTCGTAGTGCTGCTATCTCGCGTAGGATCCTCGCAACTCACTGCTATTATCAGTTGTAGAACTTCACAAAAATCTGTAGGATCGCGTATATCTGCCAAAAATCTAATTTTTCACCCTCATGTAGAGTGCGGCGGGCCCGTCCCTGACGAAAGGGATCGGAAAACGCCAAAAAAATACTTACTTTTCAAGAATTCAACCGCCTTATGTGTAATTTTAAAATTATCGGCTAAACCTCACTTTTGGAGCGGTCGATGGATGAGTTGATGTTCGGGGGAAGGATCCTCTGAGTTTACTAGGGTCCTACGCGAGAACGCGCTGTAACCCGCTCACAATAGAACGGCGTCCTATAGAACTCGTTGCAGGCTTCTAGGTTATGTGAACAAACGTAAACACACCTCCACACCCTCTCAAAAACACACACACACACACCCACACCCTCACGCATGCACGCACGCACCATTGACGTATAATGTCAATGGCACGCACACACGCGCGCGCAGGTCCGATTTGACGCGATCGGAATACGCGCCGGTAGTTCCTCGCGAAGCCAAGCGAGAGCGCCGCCATTCTCCGCAATCGAACGCACTCTCTGCGCAGTAAGGGCTTTTTTTTTTTAATCGCGGAACAGGGTGGATCGTAGTGAAACGCACTGGATCGGAATCCTGAGCGATCCAGACCGATCCAAAGTGTTCCAAGTGATAAAAAAAATCCAAACTTGGAATTTCGTTTGATTTGTTATTGTTTTGATTCGTTAGGGACGGCACAGGACAGCAAGTTCCTCGCATTAGGTTAAGAACGCAAGCTCGCCCCACCTCGGAAGAGCGATCCAGCGTTCCACCCTGATCCACCTGGAACGCTTGGATTGCGGCTGAGGAACGGAATAAAAAAATACCGATGTTCATCGCGATCCACCGCGGTCCACTACGATCCACATAAAAAAAAGCCCTGTAGTCAGTTGATCCCGCAACTCGAGCCCGAGACCGCTCGCGCCCCATTACACGAAAAATCAGAAAAATCCCTGACCAGCACCAAAATTATCTGACTTTTCCCAGTTGGTTTTTTTCCCCTAACTTTTCCCGGTTTCCCCGGTCGCTAACAAAAACTGGAGCACAAGAATTTCAGCACAACCGACTTTTCTTTCGGGATGCAATGATTTTGTTGATTGCTTGACTCCCTATTTTCAAAGAATCGTTAAAATCGAGATTCTTGGTACCTCACTTAAATTTTTAGGCCGAACACTGCACTGAAATGATCAATTGGGATGACGATACAATGGCGTCACCTCTTTTGCTTCATTTTGTGAAAAACGATTACTTGCATCTTTTCGTCCGTGGTGGGGACACATTGAACCTCTCTCCTAATTTCCGAATGATACTCAGTCAGTGTTGAAAGATGAGAAAAAATTGTGATTGAAACCTCTGCATTATAGTTTGTGGCAAGGAGCGATGAGATGGTTTCGTTCGCTCAAAGTTAAAATACTGGGATTGTGTCAGTGGAAAGGAACATTCAATTTTAGAATTTATACGATCTCTTTGTAAACTTTGCAGGAGTATATGCATCGGTTTTGCTACAGAAAGCTAAATCGATATAATTCCAATCAAAGGCGAGAAAAAAACTGAAAATGTGACATTTGTACATTATATATATCGCAAAAATCGATATTGGATGTCGGCATATTGATTATTTTCTTGCAGAAATCGATTTCTCGACTCAAAATACATAGGCATACTTTAGCTTGCAAAAGTTTTGGCCCTAGTGTGGACGCAGAGTGCGATTTTACTTTGAAAAAACTTGAAAAATCAGAATATTTAGCTCTCACAACTCCAACTTTCATGTTGACGATGCAGATGGAGGAGTTATGGCCTCGGATTTTTTCCTCGTTTTATCGGTGCCTATTGACAACTTATAAGCCCTAGCCGTTTTCGGATTTCCAAAAAAAAAATTTTTCTGCACACCCTAATGTACAGCATGGCATTTACACATATTTAGGGGACTAGATACTCAACATACCGTATTAGAGCAAATTGAAGGGAAGTGTTGCACATTGTGAGGGCATGAGTGGGGACGCGGCCAGAGTTTTTAAACCTAACTGCCATCTAGTGAAACAGTACTTTTTTTTTTCCATAACTGTATAGGGGGAGCTTAGCTGGCTTTTTCTGTTTCTTTGTAAATAACTATGTGAACTTGTTTCACAGAATAAAAATACAAAAAATATTAAAAAAGTTTTGCAATGCAAAGGACAAGACGCAATACTCCAATTTTATCTGCAGAATTTTGCAACATCGCCCACCTGATTCATCCATACAGTTCATATCTAAATGCACAATTTTACAACAGTCCCCAATGCGTCACCCCAAATTTTTAATTATTTCTGTGCACAATTTGGCACAATGTCTGCGCTCAAGCCAGCATTTTTAGACAACTAAGCAGTAAGCTGGTTGTGTTGCGCCTAAAAAAAATGGAGATGGAAATCAAAATCAGAGTATATTCAAGTAATTTACCTTCTTTGATACTTTCCCTTCACTATCTGGTAATTCTGTCATACTCAATTTTATTTGTTCAAAAGGAGACACTTCGCATCCTGAATCCTTTACAGTTAAATCAACATAAGTCAGCAAATCGTTAGCATTAAAATATAACTCCGGAACTTGAAGACGATGCATTTCAATAGTACTGTCACCTTCTTGAGACATCATGGATACCTCAAGAGACTCACCATTTAAAAGAGGCCTGCGGAAAAAGAAAAAAATATGAAAACAATTTAATTGGTAGCAGCTATCATAAATCAGGAGCGGTCATTAGTGTGAATGAATAGGTTTCAAGTCGGTCTTAATGAGTTGGCAGCCTCTAAATATTATATACCTATGTTCAAGGAAATTGATGTGTTGAGAAAAAATTGAGGTCATATTCAACTTCAGTGGCAAAAAATAGGGGACTTCTTGAACATGTTTTTTACCCCTTCCTTTTAATGGTACGTACAACATTCGGATGACGTTTGTGAGAGATAAGTATATTGATGATGATTGATGATAAGTGTATTGCTGTGTGATGACTGATACACATTAGGTAGGTATCATAAAATCACATGAGTCTGCGTCCGAAAAAGGAGCTCAGTGTATTATATAGTTCCTGATGTATTTTTTTGAGCTGACTCCACAAGTCATTACCACTTTCCTCTCAATCATCAAGATTTTCTGGAAAGTCCAATTTTTCTGTACAAAAAAGTTCTGCGAGGAAAACTCGATTTTCCGGAGAGAAACGCTCAACGTACTCAGACAGCAAAGAAAAAAAATAACGAGCGCAAGTTTGAGACGGATGCTTCGAGGTTTAGAGACACTTCTACCATATTATGCAGATGTCAATCAAATCTGTCTCGGCGATTTTTTTAATTTTCAATGGTTTTCATTGTTTGACGCCAATAATTGAATCATAATTTTCTCTTGAAAAATCGTTTTTTCGCGATGTTCAAGCATTGATGTGCCAGGAGCTGTTTTATTCTGAAGAATCTGCGTCAATTTTGTGACTTGAAAGTAATTTGTTGAGGGGGGGAGGGGGTTGTGAGTGGTCGTTTTCGGGCGTTGAGTGGACCCATTTTGAACTTAAAACAGTTATAGCTGTCTTAAAAGTTTAAACATTTTTTTACTCTTCAATTTTAATAGGATCAATTTGCAATTCAGTCGGGAGCCTCAACTTTAATCGTCATGAATCCCTTTACAACCCCCCCCCCCCCCCCCNCCCCCCGGTAGACCCGAGGGAGCTGCGGGACAAGGAAAGGAGGGGTATCGATAAGGGCCTTTTATGGCCCCCTCCTAGAATCTGGATATTTATGCGGGTTTTCCAAGTTGACTCAATGTAGTTTACGGAAATAATCATGATTTAGCCCAAAGGTCACTGGATACGTGTTAAACGGTTGTCTAAACATGGGTCTGCAGGCGTATTTTAGCGAAAATTCGTGTTTTTCTATCACTCCGAGGCTGTTTTGACACTGAGTGCATTGTCTAACTAAAACAAGCTTTAGATATGTTATTAAGGAGCCTTTAGGACACATTTTAACCCTGGTTTTGTTTTAGTTAGATGATGCGCTCATAGTTAAAAAAAACTTTACAAAAATCAACGTGTAAGGGACAGTCGCAAAAATCTTGGGAAAACACGTCTCTCGAACTGTATGCACGCTAACTATATTATCGAGGGCAGTTAACAAACCTTGTTAGGCTCTTACAAGGAGATTTCCTTCAATTGTGTCCAAAAAAAATTGAATTTTCCATACAAATAGGTATGAAGATAACGGATTTTTGAGTAGTGGAGGCATATTTTCACTAATAGCATAACATCAACTTAAATCAGGAAATTTATGCGGGTTGTCCAAATTGACTCAATGCAGCCTATGGAAATAATCATGATTTAGCCCAAAGTCCACTGGATACGTGTTAAACGGTTGCCTAAACATAGGTCTGCAGGCGTATTTTAACGAAAATTCGTGTTTTTCTATCACTCCGAGGCTTTTTTGGACACTGAGCGCATCGTATAACTATAACGAGCTTTGGATATGTTATCAAGGAGGCGTTAGGACACATTTTAACCCTGGTTTTGTTTTAGTTAGATGATGCGCTCAAAGTAAAAAAAAACTTTTTCAAAAGTCGAAGTTTAAGGGATATCCGCAAAAATCATAGGGGACACGTCTCCCCAACTGTATCCACGCTACATATATTATCGAGGGCAGTTATCAAGCCTTGTTAGGCTCTTACAAGGAGATTTCCTTCAATTGTGTCCAAAAAAAATTGAATTTTCTCTAATTGTAGCCAAAAAAAAATACCTAACGACGTAATTCCCTAAGATTTTTGTGGATGTCAGTTGAACGTCGACTTTTGAAAAAGTTTTTTTTTACTATGAGCGCATCATCTTACTAAAACAAAACCAGGGTTAAAATGTGTCCCAAAACCTCCTTGATAACAAATCAAAAGCTCGTTTTAGTTAGACAATGCGCTCGGTGTCAAAACAGCCTCGGAGTGATAGAAAAACACGAATTTTCGCTAAAATACGCCGGCAGACCCATGTTTAGGCAACCGTTTAACACGTATCCAGTGGCCTTTGGGCTAAATCATGATTATTTCCGTAAACTACATTGAGTCAACTTGGAAAACCCGCATAAATATCCAGATTCCAGGAGGGTGCCAAAAAAGGCCCTTATCGATACCCCTCCTTTAGACTCATTCAAATACCTATTGCATTTTCTTTTTCCAGAGAATCTACGTCCATTTTGAGACCAAGGAGCAACTTGTGGAGGAAGGCACCATCCCTCTCTTTCCGAGTTCATTGATAGGGTGGGCAGATTTTGAATTTTCAGGGGTAAGTTTGAGTCTAAATTGTTCGTACTCTTAAATTAAGATGCAATCAATTCACAGTCCCATCAAGGACCTTCGCACTTATAAGACTAGGATTTCCCGTTGAGCTCCTTGAGGAGAAAGGGGGGCTTCGAGGCTATGAAATTCGGATCACTTATGGTTAATTTCCTATAAAAACACTCCCTCCTTCCTGAGCCTCTTAAATCGTCTGACCTGGTATAACAGGGAATGACGCTTTATGGGTATAGTCCAGGACAGTGGTGCCCATTTCCTCTGAAAACTTTTGAATCCATACGAGTTTCCCCCTAATCTTAAGTTATCCACCCCCCTCACCATGGACAGGAGTCTGGTGAGTATAAAACGCCTCCAGATGAGGGGGGGTAGGGGCCTCCCCTGAAAATTTTTGATGCTGTCTGCGGTTTGAGGCGATAATGAACGATCCCTCTATTCCCTCCTTTCTTCTCTCTCTTCTTTATGTTCTCTTTTACGGTTTTTCAAACCGCAAGCCGATCAAAGCCGCTTACACTGTCTGTCAGGATGTTAAAGAAGAACTGGTCCTATTGACTTTGAGACACACGCACTACCAGATATCATTTGTGAATGGCAACAAAAATGTTGCACGTCTATTTTAAAGCTTTACTTTGAAAGTGTTAAATAGCTGTGTTACATTTTTCACATAGCTTTCAGTGCTACTCAAAAATCTATCAATTATTCGTTAAGTTTTCAGCTGAAAACAAAATTCATTTTCAAAAATCAGGATGTTATTTCCTTTTCATTCATCTGTGAACTTCAGCAAAAAACTCCATGATATTCCACCGAAAACATTTCCCCGTAAAGAGAACTGCCAAGTTCAAAATATGAAAATTCATCCCTTAAAATGCAGTAATATCCCGCAAAACAGACGCGAGGTAAACATTAATATTAATTTGAAGTATCCCTCCCCTTCAACAGTATTATCGGGAAAATGCAAAATAAAGAAGAAAAAAATAATTTAAAAAAATCGACAAAATTTATCAATTCATCTAAGGGGCTAAAAAACACCCCTTTCTGGCGAGGCTCTTTTCACCTACGATGCTAAATCGTCAATTTCAGTTGTGATTGACTATTCACTTGGCCGAAAAATCAACTTATGGATCCGCCATCTTCGGGCCGAATGTACTGACGGAAAACGTCAAAATTCGAAAAAATGTTACTCTTCCTTTCTTGTTCATGACCTCATGGAGCACCTATTCACGCTGGGACAACTCGATCCGACAAATCGCTTGTTGAAATTGCTCCACCATAGCGGGGCGGTGTAGGGCGAAGCCGCCCTCCAAATGCCGGCGCTAGGCGCCACGCAAAACTTGGCCAAAAACCAATTTTTCTCTCTTTTGGAGAGTTTCGTGAATATGACAATTTCCTCCTTACCTTGTATCAAGGGGTTCATCCAGTTTAAGATAATTAAAGGCATCCATTTCCGATTCATCTTCAGTCAACATCGTACACTGTAGAATTGAGAGATAGGGCACAATTCAATAATTAACTACTTATTTATAAATTAAATTTATGATAGACACTTTCCCAACAGACTAACAGAAACAGCCTCTGCACCAAAGAAAGACACATTGGCAAGGTATTAGTTAGAACAAAAATAAAAATTTGACATTTTCATTGGTATTGTAAAGTTACGATATAGATAATTTAAAAACATTTGGATGTCCTTGAGTTATTTCATGCTGAGGTAAAGTAAATGTACCTATTCCCGTCACCGCCAACATTTGAGAAGAGTAAAAAAAAATTGAAAGAACCGTATGCAAAAACGACATTTTTCGCCCCCCCCCCCCCCACTATAACTTATTCAAACTTCGTCTATCAGTTAATACTGGAGCGCTTCTTTCCCCAAATTTTCAGACCCCCCAAAATTGCATACTTTAAGATTCTAAAGGTTAAAATCCCAAAATTACATTATTAACTTCACTTATGTGCTTTTATTCAGTTTTTGAGGAAAAACAATTGCTCTTAAACACACTAAACTGAAAGATCACAATTTTGTATTTGAACCAAAACCAGTTTTTTAAATTGCTCGTCTTTTTCCGCATCCAACGAGTGGTCATGCAAGCTGGGGAACCGAACGGTTCCGGAGTTATGATCGATTGAAGTTTCCGCTCAACGCGCGCCGACCGATTTTCGCGCGCAGAAAAGTCGGATTTGACTGTTATTAAATCAGATTGAATGTTCAAACTGAGCAAAATGCATTAATATGGACTCTTGAGGGTCGCTGAGTTCAGAAATTACAGATACTTCCAAAAAATTCACGTTTTTAAAATTACAGCTCCGTAGCACTATTTTAGAGGCCCACTGAGCGCCAACCGGCCGCTCAGTTGGCCTGTACAGGGCTTTCATTTTAAATAACTGAATTTTTTGGAAGTCTCAGTAATTTCTGAACTCGGCGACCCTGAAGAGTCCCTTAAAATGCATTTTGCACGATTTGAACATTCAAACTGATATAATAACAATCAAATCCGGCTTTTTAGCGCGCGAAAATCGGTCTGCGCGCGTTAAGCGGATACTTCAATTGCTCATAACTCCGGGACCGTTTGGTTCTTTACGTAATGGACCACTTGTTGGACACGGAAAAAGACCAAGAATTTAAAAAAACTGGTTTTGGTTCAAATAAAAACTTGAGATCTTTGTAAGTTCTTTGCTTAAAAGAAATTGTATAAACAAAAACACGGAAAAAGACGAACAATTTAAAAAACTGGTTTTGGTTCAAATAAAAAATTGAGATCTTTGTAAGTTCTTTGCTTTGAAGAAATTGTCTAAACACAAAAACTGGAACAAAGCACATACAGGGTTATCCAAAAGTCACCTACCACCCTTGTAACTTTTTTCCTAATTGAGATAGAAGTTTGAAACGTTGGTTATGTTCCTCGATCTAAAGTAGCAACTTGAGGCCCCCCCTAAGGGAGGCTAACTTTTGTTTTTCAAATGGCAATCCTCTTTTGTGATACCTCATTCGAAAGAAAATAAAAAAGAAAATTTTTGGCGCAAACCGCAGGTCAAAATATAGATTATTTACAAAATGGCGGCCGTTCAAAGTTCAAAAAGGCGGAAATTTGGCATCTCCGTTTTGAATTGGCGGATTGGTCTGAAACTTGGAATCCTTAGGTTTCTTGGGACGAGAACAACGACTCTGGCATTAGTTTTCCAATAAGGTTAGTCCTTTTCAAAATGATGGCTCAGAGCGGGAAGTGGATATTTAGGCTGCTTATCGTTAGATTTGTATGAGACTTGGTATTCGGGGGTATATTTCGGCATGAGAAGAACGAAACTTTCATTGAATTTTTGAAATTTCAAAAAACTTGAAGATGGCGGCGAAAAAATGACGGGAAATACATATCACCGGCCATAACACCGATTTTTCCGCCGCCATTTGTAAAGTACTCAGTACATAGGTAAATAGCCGTGATATGGATTTCCCGTCATTTTTTCGCCGCCATTTTCAAGTTTTTTGAAATTTCAAAAATCCAATGAAAGTTTCGTTCTTCTCATGCCGAAATACCCCCGGATACCAAGTCTCATACAAATCTAACGATAAGCAGCCTAAATATCCACTTCCCGCTCTAAGCCGCCATTTTAACCGCCACCATTTTGAAAAGAACTAATCTTTCTGGAAAACTAATGCCTGAGTCGTTGTTCTCGTCCCGAGAAACCTAAGGATTCTAAGTTTCAGACCAATCCGCCAATCTAAAACGGAGATGCCAAATTTCCGCCATTTTGAACTTTGACCGGCCGCCATTTTGTAAATAATCAATATTTTGACCTGCGGTTTGCGCCAAAAATTTTCTTTTTTATTATCTTTCGAATGAGGTATCACAAAAGAGGATTGCCATTTGAAAAACAAAAGTTAGTCTCCCTTAGGGGGGCCTCCCCCCAAAATTTTGGGGGGACCAAAAAGTTACTACTTTAGATCGAGGAACATAACCAACGTTTCAAACTTCTATCTCGATTAGGAAAAAAGTTACAGGGCTGGTAGGTGATTTTTGGATGACCCTGTATGATGACTTAAAAATTTGATTTCGGGATTTTGACCTTTAAAATCGTAAAGCATGTAATTTTAGACGATTTTTCGTCGAAACCGGACCTCGATATCTTTCTTCGTTCGAGAGATATCGAGGTTAACAGGTTTTCCCTTCCATTCCCCTAGTGCCTGCTCAAAATTTTATGGGGGTCTGAAAGAGGCTGTGTCCCATTTTCCATAGGAAATGGCCGGAAGGGTTTTCACATCCATACTTTCAGGAATCATAAGGGATCATCGAAGAGGCCTAAATTCGGTGACCTGTTTCCTGTCGAGCCCTCCAAGGGGCGAGGGGGGAGGGGGTCAAGGTTTTTTTTTTTAGTAGTATTGGCCACCTGGGTATTGCGCTATGGATTTAGCAAGGGTGTTGTTGTCCAATTCCTCATTGGCAGGCTTTCCAAACAATTTTATGAGTTGAGCGACGTATGGTTGGCTGTGAAAGTTCTCGCAAAATCTCAATCAAAGATATTGTTGTCTACATGGGACATTATGATGCTCTCAGTCTTTTGATAATTGGAACGATTCATTATCAGACACATGGAAGACAAAAAACCAACAGTAAAACTATTGCAGTAAGGGTCACGTCTAGTTTATGGATTTATGGTCAGCTCAACTGAAACAATTTTTTCCCTTGTTCGTTGGCCGTAGGGAAACTTCTTGTTGGTTTCTATTTGAATTAATGGCCAGTTTTGTATTTTCCTGATTTTTGCTTGTGTCCATTAAATTTTCTGCCGATGTTTTCGTTGTTAATCCTCTGTAAATTTTCAGTCTAACATGCTAATTCATGTCATTGTCATTTGTCTTCCTTTTGTAACTAATCTGTAAAATCATGCAGAAATTTTCCTCTATTTTTTTTCATAGAATTTTTTTCGTAATTTTGTTCAGGATGAAGTAACTTTGTGAATTGTCTTGGGGATTTTGCCCTAAAAGCTGAAAGTAGTGTATCTCAACTTCTTTGTGTATACCTTTTGTAAAATGTATTTTTAAAGCTTCAAGACAGCAGTCTCCTCATCTCCGAAAAGGAGGAGATTCGTAACGAAGAATTTCATTCTTCGTTTTAAGTTTTTCTACTTCTTTTGTAGACCAAAATAGCGACAAATGTGTCACGGCTTGGCGACACCGCGCCGCGACGCCCGGTGACGGTACATAAGCTGTTTGAATGATGAGAAGAAATGGAATACTGTTTTCTCCTTTTCCTCTCTCGAAGATGCTCATTGGACTGTGAAATCAGGGTTTTCGTAGTTTTACCCTAAGCAAAAAAATTGTAAAAAAAAGTGTATCTACTATAAACGTCTGTAGGAAATTTTCCTACGTCCATTTCTGTAAATTTTCGATTTTAATTAATTTTTCTTGTAACAAAAATGTTACAATCGAGATCGTCTTCCAATAGCTTCAAATCAATCTGATGGCCCTCTAAGCCCAAACATCGTTCATCACCCTCTCCTTTCCGGAAGGTCATCCTCTCTCTACTCTTTCTTTACTTTTGGGACTCGAAATGCACGCGCTGAGTAGCATTTCGTCCTGTTTCCTATACTCTCACTTTTCCTCTGTTTTCTTCCTCCTGGCGCTTGAAGAGCACGCTCTGAGTTGCATTTCGCTCAGCTCTGCTTCTCCTTACCTGTCTATCATCGCCTGTTTCTGGCGAGTTCTACCTGTGAGACCTTGAAGTGCACGCTGTGAGTGACATTTCGGTTATTTTAACAAAAATTTTTACTTTTGTCATTATTTATTTATCTTGGGAAAACCTAGATGTGCACACTGTGAGTCGCATTTCGGCTTCCTTTTTTTTATATTTTGAGTGTAGGGTCCTCACACATTTAGCTAATGAAAGGACATTCTTTTTGTAAATAAACCAAGAAATTTGAGACACAGACTTTGATCATTCTTCCCCTCTTTCAAACTCATTTTTAAAATTGGCGCCCGAATCCAGGATCCCGGCGAGCTCATTCCGGCAACTACAGTAACGTTGGCTTATCTTATACCAGAGGACATATGTGCCTCTGAAGATCTGGATCTGCTTCGCAGTGAAGGGGGATTTGCCTCATTACACCCCCCACCTCTATGATTTCATATTTAATAGCCAAATCAAGCCTCTTTTACCGCCAAATACACTCAAGAGCTGTAGATAATATTCAAAGGCTCTAGAACGCAACTAGCCAACCAGCACTTGAAACTCGCATTTACTACTGAATATCTCTCCCTCACCTCTCTTCGATCTATTCCCCTCTCATCAAGATTAACCTGCACGGAAATAATCAGGATACCACAATGATGAGAGGCATGATTTGTCTATCATTTATTCATGGGGGTCGGGGGCGAAAAAATAATGTACGCCTGCGTCTTATCGTTTATTAGCATTTAATTCATTTTTATTTTCCTATTTTTGACAGAAATAAAAGTAATTTTGCACTAATGATTGATCATTCTTTAGGTGGAAGGAGCTTTGGGCCTTTCTGCATCCGTCATCAGCTGAAGCGGGCACCAGGGGAAAAGGTAGGGAGGAGTGGCACGCGAGTATACACTCCACGCACTTTGAAAATAGCGCGCCACGCCAACTTTGAACGGTCATAACTTTTGAACCATTTGTTTCCCCAAGTTGAACTATTGCTCGTTTTAAAGTTGAATTAAGGGCTTTGATTTAAATTGGTTTTCGATGAAAGGTCTTGTTGAGAGCTTTCATTTGAGCCCAAGATCAAGTTGATCCATGGTTTCGTTAAAAAATTATGGCGGTCTGTGCGTGTATATACAAGCGATAATTTCACATTGACATACGTTTCATTTTAACACACATCAGTGGAAAATGAGAGAAGATTGCGATTTGACTACCGCAGTACATCACCGTCGTTAGTTTCCTGCCATTTGGCCGCGTTTGAAATGTCTTCTTGTTTTTGGAGTTTCAAAAGCGGATTTCTCCGCGATTTCGGCTCCATAAAAATGCGGAAAAATCACCACGTTATCTACTCACCTAGTACGTTCGGAATAACAAATAAAATAAACACAGTGTAGTGACCCATTACCTCTAGTTGGTGAGACATTTGCTCATTGGGGTAATTACCATTAGGAGGCTGAGCCATGTCGTACGCCAAAAAATTAAAATAAATTGGTTAAAACTTGTGCTTACCTTTAGTTTGTAGTAAGGGACGATTTAAATTTTTTTCTTGCTAAGTATTTCCTGTAAACAAAAAACAGACTTGGTCAGAATATATTAAGGGAGGAAGGGATGGTTCAAAAGGGTCAGTGGCAATCAGATCCATGCTATTATATATCACTTTCTACTGATCAGATGACGCTATCACTACAATTGTTTACAACAAGGAAAATGGACCAATTCACTCTTATGGCAAACGCCTTTCAGACTTGGCCCTGTTACAAAGCATGCGAGTTCCGTGAAAAATCAATGGCTGTCCCTTGACAGTTTTTACCATTACAATATACTAATTATACTACATATATATTATATTTACTATATACTATAATTTGAAATAATTCTATAGAAAGCACCTTGAGCGAATAAAGTGAGTATTAATCTGACTCAATGAGCGAGTTTAAGCACAAATAATAGGCTACTTGAGACAACGGGACCAAATTAAGCAAAAATGAATATATCAAAATCAGAAGGTAAAATAGCAATTTGAGCCTCATTCACAATCTTGGATTTGAAAATTTCGAAAATTGGACTGAAAATTCGAATTGCTGGTCGAAAAATACCCCCTCGTACCTATTTTAACGAAAATGGATGCAGTAGAAGTCGATAGCATTTTAGGCCACATCCGCCATCTTGGATTTAGGAATTATGAAAAAGTGACAGAAAATTCGAGTTTTTCGTCGAAAAATACGCCTTGATACCTAGTATTACGAAAATCGATGCAATAGAAGTCGAGATAGCATTTTAGGCCACATCCGCCATCTTGAATTTAAGAATTTTGAAAAAGTGGCTGAAATTCAATTGTCAACTTTGTATGTTGAACCTGTAAATGAAAAAGACCAGTGAAAAAGTGAATAATTCATTTTGAAAAAAAAAATGAAGAAAAAAAAAAAGTTGTTTCTTTTTCCTTCATGTTTTTTTTTAAAGGAATAGTTTATTATAAATTAGTTTCACCTTGAAGACCCCCTAAAAGCCTCATTTATCGGCCAGCCTACGAAGGAAAAAAACAGTAGTGTGCTAAAGTTAACCGCGCGAAAGAAGAAGTTTTGGACGTAGGCTTCTTTCAAGGGCATCAAGAGCTGCTATTTCCCTAATCTGCAGGATCCCATTGGAGATGTTGCATGTGTGAGGGATTTGCGATTTGACCATTGATGCTTATATAAAAGTTCGCGAGAAACACGAGAAATCGTCTCCCAAGCTTAAAAAAAGCGCTCAAAGTGAGGCCAAAATGGAGGGGATATCCCACCCTACCCTGAGAGTCTACGTCTACATCAAAACAAACTCTCATGCAAAGATAGGGAGCAAATACATTAGCAGGGTTGCCATGTTTTCAGTTTTGGAGTCCCCAAAATAAAGTGGCTCCATCGTGTTTCGCGCGAACTTTTACATTAGAATCAATGGTCAGATCGCAAATCCCTCACGCATGCAACATCTCCATTAAATCTCTCGTATAGGTAAATAAATTCTGAATGAAAATTTTACCTCACACGGCGTTCGTTTTAAAAAGTTTAAGTTTTTTATGAAGACCACCCGCGATTTTCTTCGATGAAAGTGTTAGAGGAGGTCCCTATATTGAAAAAGTAAAAACCGCGAAATCGTAAGTGGGGCCATTTTTTCTTTCGAGTTTTTTTTTATTTTCAAGGGTAAAATGGCGGCAGAGTGAGGGCTGAGGGGCCAATGTGTGACCACCATAACCCTCAACCCTCTGGTCAAATTAAGTTCAAATTTCATGAATGTTAGTCTTCAGAGCTTCCTCAAACGTTTTAAACCCTCCCTTATTATGATGCGGGCGATGGGGCAGTGTGGATTTTGGTTTGCGATTATCATTGAAAATCATGGAGAAAACTTATTATTTTACACTGTGTGAATAATTTTAAATCTACCTTGATGAAGGCATGCGATGTTTCCATATTTTCGTTTTATGCAATAGGAAAATTATGTTTTCCAGAAAATGTCAATTTTTATATTTGATTGAAACCTGTCCACGCTCATTGATCAGCGCTACTTTTTACATAGGCACATCAGCTTTAATTGACGAATTTTTCCATACAATGGAGCATTAAGTCAGTCATTTAACTTCAATTTATAAACGCAATCTATTAACGAAATTAAATGCACATGAATCGATGTTGGCGGATTTTGTTCAAAAAAAATTCCCGGAGTATATGTAAAGAATAAAATACCTGTAAGAAAAAATAGTCTTTAATTCGCGGGCAAAAAGTAAACAAAAACCGTTCAGAGATTTTGCAGATGTTCGTGAAGAATTTAAGTTCCAATCTCTTAAATCTAAAGAGAGAAGAAAGAAAAGAAAAGAAGAGGAAAAAAACATCTACAAATGATGAAATTTCAACTTTTTCTTTCTTTTTTTTCTTCTTGAAGGATGACAATACTTCTTCTACCCTAGAGTAGCGAGAAAGTAAAAACTTCAAGATTCTCGTTCAGTGATTACGCGGGAATAAACAAGCAAACCCAATTAGCGCATGAGCCTCCAAAGTTTATTTCTCGCTCAAAGATTTTTTCGCTGATTTTTGGAAATCTGGAACAATGAGCTAGAACACATTTTTATCGCTTAGTGAGTCTTTGAAGTTTTTTTGTTTTTTTGCTTTTTTCTTTATTTTCTCTTCTTTTCTTCTTTTCTTCTTTTTTGAAGGAGATAGGCTCAGAATCAACAGTTCCTCTAAAACTTTTTAAAACTTCTTCTTTCGGTAAATTTTAGCATATTTTTTTTTTCCTTCCTAGGCTGGCCGATAAATGAGGCTTTTAGGGGGTCTTCAAGGTGAAACTAATTTATTATAAACTATTCCTTTAAAAAAAAAACATGAAGGAAAAAGAAACAACTTATTTTTTTTCTTCATTTTTTTTTCAAAATGAATTATTCACTTTTTCACAGGTCTTTTTCATTTACAGGTTCAACATACAAAGTTGACAATTGACGCTTAAAGTAAATTATTCTGGGCATTTCAACAACTGAAGTTACGAGATAATGATGAAGAATAAGATTGCAACAGTTTAAAAGCTTCAGACAAGAAGCCGCCTGCGAAGACTGCACTTCGCGGCGGCGTCGGATAAACGTCAGCGTCAATTCAAAAAACCCGCGCAAACCTCGCCGCCATTGTTGTTTACGAAAATCGAGCACCCCGAACGAGCACCAGCCACCGCCGAACTGCACCAATCCAGTGCGTATTCGGGGTGCCCTGTTGACTATCAAGTCGTCAGTCGGAAAAACCCTAACTGGTACCAAGTTTAACTAAAATCGATGCGATAGGAGCCGAGATAGCATTTTAGGCCACATCCGCCATCTTGGATTTACGAATTTTGAAAAAGTGGCTGAAAATTCGAGTTTCTCGTTGAAAAATACCACCTGATGTCAAGTTTTACGAAAATCTATGCAATAGGAGCCGAGATACGGGGTGCAGGAATGATGTGTCACCAAGGAGGAGAAGAACACGGAGAAACCAACAACAAGGGTCTCGTGACGTCATAGCAATGATTGGTGCGTCACTGGACAGTGGACACCATACAGTCGTTTTAACAACCGCTTGTAACTTGCTGATGTATCTTGGCCTTCACTGCCATGCCAAAATGACAGCCAATCGGAAACCCTCTTACATGGCTTCGCAGCTTGCACGTGTAACCAGTAGCTACGTTTATGCGAGGCTCGAAACCGGGGTTTCACGAAACCCGAGTTTGTAATGCAAGTTTCCTCCGTCGGGTTTATGCGGGCGCTGTAACCCGACTTTCGCGGGAAATCAAACTTTCCGATTTTGGCGCTGTTTATGCGCATGTTTTCGATTGAACTTGAATTTCATGTTGGCGCCATTTTCACAAGCTATACTTCATTTTTCCACTATGAATTGATTCAATAAATTATTAGGTATTACTCTTTTATCCTGTGTATGTTCAATTTTTCCACAATATATAAGCGGAGGCTTCATCTTCACTAGAAAAGCCTTTACTGACTTTCTGAGCAACAGTTGGAAAAATGACAAGTTTCAAGAAATGACGTTCAGTATTTTTTAATGAAGGAAGTAAAGTATGACAAGAAGTCTGCAACGCCGCAAACCGAAATACGTATTTAAGCAGTTTCACCATCGATTTACTCTTTTCCAGCTCTTTATATCCGTTCATGGTTTTGATTAGGTTCCAAGAACCTTTCTTCAGATTCTTGCAGGTAAGGATCAGATATAAGCATACACAATAAAGTTGCTGTTCCTATTTTGTGGATGTGAGGGGTTGAATCGCAACCAGTAAACGCATGCAAGAACAGCGATCATCTCGGATTTTGCGCGTTTAACGTCACTTCGAAAACGCAAAGAAATATTGGTGTCTGCTCATCAATTTGATGGAGTATAGGTTTGTGCAATGGATTCCTTAGTGCATGCCTATGCTTCGATCGCACTCGATGGAGTAGAGACCCACCATCTGAAACCGATGGAAAGTTTTCTACATTATTTTCGAAACTTATTAATTGTTCATCCTCCAAGTTTACGGCATCTAAAATTGAGTTCAGAGTGTTTGTGCAGTAATCAGTAAGACACCTCACTATTAATGGCTCATCACTTTTCACTTGTCAGCCGTGATGACAATCATCTTGATTATCTTGTTTCATTTTTGTGTAAAAGACTGTTTTACATTTCATTTAGATTCGTTTTGTTGACTAAAAATGCGTGTAAATTGATACCTCACTTGTTATCTCACGTGACTTTTTTTTCATAAAAATTCACACTCCTGCCTTTCAAATTTGGCCGCCATCTTAGACTTCGGGCACCAATTTTGACCGGGGGGCTTTTTTGACTTCATTAATGAAATCTACGACCGAAATTACGTAGGAAATGACATATCACTTGCCTTATCACGTAACAATTTGAAAAAATGCACCCTCCTGCCTTTCAAATTTGGCCACCATCTTGGATTTGGGGCTCCAATTTTGACCGGAGGACTCTTTTGACTTCATTAATGAAATCTACGACCAAAATTTCATAGGAAATGACATATCACATGACAGGATATGCACAAGTGAAAATACCGATATTTCGGAGGCCTTATTTTGGGCGCCATTTTGAATTTTAGGCATTTTGAGGGGTGTTCCGGGGTCGGACAGAGAAAACATTTCAGGATACTGTTTGAGAGAGCCTACTAATGACTTTTACACAAGTTTTGATTACATTTTACATTTTTAACGGCGTTCTAACAATGATTCAACGCGAAAATTCGGCAAAACATAGCGAAATCAGGGCCCCCTGCCCCCCCGGCCGCCATGGCCTCAGAATTTTGGGCTCACTTGCGAAATTGAACCTTCTATAGGTAAAGATGATATCCTGAAAGTTTCATGTTTTCTTCCAGAAATGCACGATTCTGGGAACTTTTTCCCCTTATCCGCCCTACTATTTATGTCCTGCTAAAGCTCTCTAATATTTAGGTAGTTACTAATTTGCTTAGAGCAGATCGCCGTTTGAAAATATTCTCATTGGTTACACGTGCAAGCTGCGAAGCCATGTAAGAGGGTTTCCGATTGGCTGTCATTTTGGCATGGCAGTGAAGGCCAAGATACATCAGCAAGTTACAAGCGGTTGTTAAAACGACTGTATGGTGTCCACTGTCCAGTGACCCACCAATCATTGCTATGACGTCACGAGACCCTTGTCGTTGGTTTCTCCGTGTTCTTCTCCTCCTTGGTGACACATCATTCCTGCACCCCGTATCTCGGCTCCTATTGCATAGATTTTCGTAAAACTTGACATCAGGTGGTATTTTTCAACGAGAAACTCGAATTTTCAGCCACTTTTTCAAAATTCGTAAATCCAAGATGGCGGATGTGGCCTAAAATGCTATCTCGGCTCCTATCGCATCGATTTTAGTGAAACTTGGTACCAGATAGTATTTTTCAACCAGAAACTCGAATTTTCAGCCACTTTTTCAAAATTCGTAAATCCAAGATGGCGGATGTGGCCTAAAATGCTATCTCGACTTCTATTGCATCGATTTTCGTAGATTGGTATGCCAATTTATGCGCGGCGTAAGCACCGCGTACCGGCGCTTTACGCCGGCATGTGGGGGGGCATCGCCCCCACCCATCATGGTGCGAGGATCGCACAAGACTTTCTCGCTGTAGCCGGCGCTCCGCGCCGTCATAAACACTTTAACTGGGTTACTTAGAAAAATACTTTCATTTTCCAAAATTTACAGTCCTCCAAAATGCGCTTTCCGTGTGATTTTGCTAAGAATCGAACATGGCCCCTATCCACCCCAAATTTTAGTGTACCCCAAAATCGTTTGACGTGCATAAGGAGACCATAGATATGGTCTCCTCTGCAAATTTTGAATGAAATCCAACAGATAGATTCTGAGATATCGCTATACACAAATTTGGGGAATGCCTGACGGACAGACACACATTTTTTTATGTACCTATGGTTATTTTAACTCCTGGGACCTTAACACGTCTAGAAATGATGAAATTTCCATTTCTTTTTTTTTTTTTCCTCGGAGGATGACAATACTTCCTCTACCCTAGGGGAACGAGAAAGTAAAAATTGCAACCTGCACTCTAAGCGGTCTCCACGTTTAATTATCACGATGAGAAAATACAACTACGTTCCCACCACTGGGAGACTTTAAAAATAACCCGGGTGGAATGGGGCTAGCATCTAGATCTACCAGCCGCCTCGCGGCGTATTCCAATGAGCCCGCTATAGCATAGCGCGCTCAAAAAACATATGAACAACAGAAAATGAAAGAAACCTACTTGTTCTTCGTCATGTGCTCTACTCATGAATTCATCACCCTTTTCTTTAGCGTTTGCTATCGCTTCTGCAATCGATTTCGCACTAATTTCGTAGGTAGCTGCCAGAGAATAGTAAAATCTTCCTGATTCTTTTAATATTTCACGGAGAGGTGCTTGTGAGACTGAGAGGATGTTTGGGAAGGCTCTAGTAGTGATTCCGGATACCTGGTTTTTTCTACCTGCATTTGAAAACATACTTGATGAGAAAATATTGAAAGACGAAAGGGTGCTTGAGTAGGGATCCTCGCTTTTCAAAAAAAAGCTTCTAACTGCTCTTGTGAGCCCTGTGGTACCTCCTTCCATAGTTGAAAAAAGCTGGATCAGGTATCATAAATTTTAAAAATTAATATTTGTGTGTAGTTCCCTTCTCAGGCTGATTTTTAGTCTACATTTTAAGGAGCGATAGCTACCCCGTCAAGCCTATGAGATCCGAGAGAGGTAACCAGACTCTATATTTACATGCATTTACCTGATTTCGGCCTCTTACGTGGTTTTGCAGCGTTCCCATTACGATATCTCCCCAAAAACTCAACAAATCCGAAATCCTTGCCACTCCCAATCGCAGCATAGATTCCCTCATATAATTGCATAATTGATAATTCATTGCCATTTAAAAATGACAGGGGTTTATGATACTTCCCGCAAAGCATATCAGGTGCTTGCATTCCTTGTTTTTTGAACAACATACTGTTGGAAGAAAATCAGATAGGTTATCACCTCGAGAATTAATGGAAACCTATTTAAATACTTTAGGGGGTTTTTCAAGACAGCACCTTCTCGTAAGAAACACACCCAATGATGTTTCCTCACATTAGTGACTCAGGCAACTAAACTTGCTTCAAAGGCAAGTTGGATGCGTCAGAGACTAATCGAAGGAGACTGCCAGCAGAATTATTTACCATTTCGCTTGTTGTAGTTTAAGGGCGCACGTGCACTTAAAAAATCTTAACCTCAAATGATATCAGACATTTTAGTCCAAGAGCTCGCCCGAAGAGTTTCAACCGGAAAGATCTAAAAATGCCACCACTTTTTTTCGATGTCTATTTTATTGATGATTGAAGGTCAGTCGGTCTGGCAGATCATATCGGTGACGTTCAATGGCCATAAGACTTCAAATTTCAAAAAAATTTGACAAAAAACTGGAGAGATCTATGCATGAAATTTTACCACCATGTAGAATTTTATGCCCCTAACGCAAATGAATCGGTCTGGCAGTCGAAATCGGTGACAAAATGGCCGCAAGACCAATTTATGATTGGAAAAAATTTCCGAAACAGCCTTCCAATTCTGAAATACTAGATTTTCCGTGAATTCAGGCAATAAAATATGGCAACACCGGCTTTTTTGGGTGGGCCTGGAATAAAACAAGGCCTTGGAGGAAGGTTTGGACCATCCGCAGCCATTTTCTGCCAAAAAAGTTCAATTCTGGTGTAAGATGAGTCGCCTTTTTTAGGCCATTTTAAATATTGATGAAAAACAGGAACATTCTAAAAAAATTTTTTTAACTATGAGACATCGACTAACTATGATACTATTGACATAGACGAAAATTGGCGAAAGTGGCTCTTTTACAACCCTAATGAACATACCTACTTGAAGGACTTTATGTTCCTCCGAAGGAATCGTCATGAAATAGCGCGTCGAATGCCAAAAAACCCGCATTTTTCGCAAAAATTGGCCTTCAGACCCATGTTTCGGCGAATGGTAGACCCCAAAATGGACCGGCACCAAACCATGATCTTTAAATGCTTGGATTGAATCACCTTAATTTTCGTTTTTTGAACTTTACCCGAAATTTGGGGACTTGAAAACGCATTGTTGAACTAATTTTGAACTTACCAAGATAATGTTAAGGCAAAGTAAGGGGCAATTGGTTCATTTCGCGGGAAAAGCTTATGACCTTTAAAATGACTTGTTTGGGGGTCCGAAACCCCCCTTAAAATTAAATCGAAGTGATTTCTGCAATTTTTACTTAAAAGCGGACACAATTCGGTAAATGTTCCCGTTTTATTTTCTTCTTTACGATAATTTGAACCGGATTTATGATTTTTTGAAAATAGGTCGAATTTGAGCTTTGACCTATCATAACTCGGTCAAAAGTTAAGATATTGATCTGCGGTTTGCGCCAAAATTCTTTGTTATTTATGTTCTCTCTAATGATGTATCACAAGATAGGGGTTACCATTTGAAAAAAAAATAGTTGGGGGCCCCCGCGCCCTCCCTGAGGGGGGGACAAAAATTTTGATCCCTCTAGAAGATGGTCCCCTTTAAGATAGGAACATTCCCAAAGTTTCGTCTTTCTATCTCTAACCGTTCAAAAGTTACGAGGGGGGCTACGGACTTTTGTGACACCAAATCAGCTATTACAGAAAGGGCACAATCGACATTTTTTTCGAAATTGAGTTTTTTGCGGTTTTCGCATTAGTGTATGTGGACACATCCTGTAGTGCAGACAGGGCACTATATTCGCATTTTTTATGTGTTTTTGACAGGGGTTAAGTTCCTCACGTAGAGCAGAAAGGGCACTGTTGCAGCAATATAGTGCCGTTTCTGCAGTACATGCCCACTGGGTACGCGCGCATCGGCAGCGGCAACTCGTCGTTTGTTTTGTTTTGATACGATTGAGAGGTTAGTTTTGCGTTTCGAAACGACAGTGATCGCGCTACACGCTTCACTCACGCTGAAAATGAAAGGAGTGAGAACTGAACTGTGGGAAGTGAGAGGAGCCCTAAACAGGTTGGATGAGGAAGTAGGTAGAAGATTACTACGCTATTGAACTTCAAAGGATACTTTTTTTTTTTTTGACTTGAAATAAGCCAGAAATATTTTTATTAAAATTTACATAGCTGTGGGCAAACCACATGGTGAAAGTTCGAAATCGCATACCATCAATTGCGACATTGCCAATTGCGACGTCTTCTTTTTTTTGTTCTTAAGTATTCTCTATTGAAATTTTGTGTAAATTTTCTTCACACCATCAAGATTGTTTTCTGAAAATTTCATGGGAAAATCTCTATTAGTTCTCTTTAAAAAAATAGTATAAAAAGAGAGCAGAAATTTTGAAACGTTGCAATGGAGATATACAATTTCCAACTTTCGCTATAAACATGCATCATTGCCGTACATTTGAGATGAAAAACAAGGGCTAAAATAATTTTCTGGCTTCATTCTATCACTCTTTATGGCTCCTTCCCCCATGTATTACAGAAAGGGCACTAATGCTCTTCCTTCAAGTGTCATTATTTACAACCCAGAAAGAGTATCATGTAAACATTTTTTATGGAAATTGTCAGTCTACTTGGGGGACAAAAGAAAACCTCGAAATTTTTTTTTCCAAAAGCTTATAGTTTACTCAAATCAGTTTTTTGCATTTTCTGAACAGTTAACATTTCTGCAATAAGTGATTCGTATGTATCTTTGGTGTTAGTTATTGCCGATTCTAATTAAAATACAAAAAAAGTTTTTAGTACTTTTACTTGTAAATTTTAAAATTACATAAATGAAGCCTTCCGCCTGAAAAAGTAGAAACTCACATTTTGCCGTAAAAAACATGAGCTTACATTTGAATATTATGACAGGGTTTATTCCTAGGCTAGTTTTATTTGACAACCAATAACTTAATAACTAACATTTACCAAGGAATGCACTTATGAACCCGCTTGCAATCCATTAGCTAACACATCTTAAAACTGTCAAACATGAATGAATGTGAGATGTGCTTCCGAACATCACCTTTTCGATAACTTCAAACATTCACATCCAAAATAATTTAGCATGTCGAAATCTTGTTTTTTATTTTTAAAAAAGTATGGCTTTAAATTCATTTTTATAGTTCGAAAAATATTGATAAGAACATTGTTAGTCAAATTAACGCATTGAGAAATCGTAAAAATTGCTGCGCAGCATGCGAATTCAGATTTCCCGCATCAAATGCTGGCTTCTGATTATGCGTCTTATTTAACCGATAAGCGTGTTCCATTGCATCCCATCTTGCGTTATTTATAATCTGTGGCCGCGGAGACACTGACAGCCTCCAAAAGTGGCTTCATTGGCGCTCCAGAACATTGCGACTCTATTATCATTGTACCCTATGGTTTGCAGTCACCAAAAAAAAATTAGGAAAAAAACTGTAGGCTTCGGTCATTTACTACCTTTGAATGACACAATAAAAAAAATGACTTAACTGACTTATTGGGCGCAGTGCATAAATTTAACTGCACAGTTAAGCCCATTGAGCTCTTCCTGGAGTCGGTCTTTATACATTTAAGTTTAAGGGTGATTTTACGATAACAGGAATAGTTAAAATGTGAAATACCTTAGAAATAAAAGTGCACCAATTTTAACAGGATTTCATTACCTCATTTTAAAGGTATTAAACTTCCTTTTTCCAGCTTTGGCACGCTCTATTTTGATTCAGTGCAAAGTTAAAGTGATTGATAAACAAGCCATTGAATCAGGTATCAGCGCTTCCCGCGGGACTGCTGGAGGTCCACGCAAACATGGCGGCCCTGCCAAATTGTGTCGGTTACGTAACAGACACAGCGTAACCGACACTCAAAAATGTGAGATTAAAGATGATACAAAAGATGAAACTTGGCAATTCTTGAGTTATGAGGTGGAATTAATGCTGCCTTAAAAGTTTTCTAAACTTTGGAGACTTCCTTTTAGTTTAATACTATTAAATTGAGGTTTTTGCGTAGTGAGGAATTAGTGCTACGCACGTAAAAATCACTAGTTTTCATAATGATTAAAGTTTTCATTGTAAAAAAAACTGACTTATCAGTAATGGTTTTGTCAAGAAGACTTCAGCGAACAATTTGATGGCAGTTTTGAAACTCCTGACTCCATCTGACGAGATAAACACTGCATTTAATACAACTGCAAAAATTTGTCGCCAAATGTGGCGACACCTCTTTCTTATGACTTTTCCCGCTCAATAATAAACATTTCAGTTCAAACTGGCAATTTTCTTGAACACTAGAGTCTCTATTCAGCAAATATTGCCAAAGAATTCATGATCAGTACTGATTTGTTACCGCAAATTGCTCTTTTGCTTCAAAATCGGGGTTGGCGACGCGTAACCGACCGGACATTTTTGGCCTTTAAAGTCTCATATTATTGAATATAATAATAATTCATCATATTTTTTAGCATGAATAGGTTCAGGGACATCATTCCTATTGATTAATTAATTTGGTTTTCAATCGTTCTGCCCTATGTCGTTCACAACCCACGGCGACACGACTATTCCTATTATCGTGAAATCACCCTTAACCTGTTTTCTCAGACTAATTGTAAGTAGGTAGTCTCCAGGAAACCATTTGCAGCGGCTATGTTATTGTATCTTTCATACTATTTCATAGTAGCTCTCGAATGTTAGCTATTATTCCTAACTACAATTGAACTGGATGAACCTACAGCTGCAGAAGATGAAATACCTATGATGTCTACTCTCTGCTCAGTCCCTAACACTTTCTTGCAGCAGTGCGTTAAGAAAGCCTCTTATCATCAGCCAGATCCGATAATTCCAATATCCAGCTTTCCTAAAATCAGTAAGAGTACTTAAGTTGCTCCAAGCTCCATTAATTCAGTCTTGACTTCACATTACAATTAACGCTGTAAAATTTGGGCAATCGCCAATTATCTTGCAAATGATTAGGCCCTTTGCTAGGGTGTATTCTAAGTATCTAAGAAATGGATTGTAGCTCCTCCATCCTGATGCATGATGAACTTTGCCAATGTAACCAAGACCAATCTACACAGGTCAGTTAGTGCGCATCTTTTTGGAATCTACTCCTCCTCCTGGCCGTAACTTGGCAGCACTCAATGCTCCATCACATTGGCTGCTCCCATAAATAATACATTGCAGGCACCCAATACCACGTCACTGTGCAATAGAGATCCAAAACTTGTCCTTGGGAATGACTTATCTACGCGGCGATTAATGAAACCTTGTCAGCATGATAAGACAAGACACAGCCCTATCTTAACCATGCAATATATCACATTTCGATGACTACCTAATAGGGATGCTTAAAACTTTCAATAATTGGCCTGCTGTGTAGATTGGTCTTGAATATTGCTATGATGGACCTATGAGGTCATGCTGGTTCACATGGTTCTCGCAAATAGATGCTACACACATACAGCACAGTCTCCGCCATCCCTTAAGATCCCAAGTAGCAAAATAGAATTTTTTCCTAGAATAAAAAATATTAAGAAAACTTCTAGAAAATACCAAGAAAATGAGAGTTATCTAGAAAATAGAAAGATAAAACATTGCGAGTCACAAGTCTTATCAAAGAAAATAGATCTATTTCATAGGTCTACTTTCTATCAACTTTCCGTCTGTAAAAAAGAGAGAAAATTTATTGAAAGTAGAATTATTTTCTAGCCAATTTCTTAATGTTTTCTTTCAAGAAAATACAAGGAAAAAATGTATTTTCTTATGTCTATTTTCCAGATCCACTTTATACCTATTTTCTTTCAAGAAAATTGTTCTATCTAGAAAGTAGACATTTTCTTGATGAGCGCCACCTAGAAAGTAGATGACAATGCTACTTGGGATACTGCGATTAAATCTGCATAATTCATTTCAAGACTTACAGCCACTTAGTGTGGCGGATTGTGGATGGTGCATGAAGCTGAATCCCCAAAAGGTGAGTGATGAGTGCCCAATGGTACATGGATTGAAAGTAGCACCTGCATCTCTTGCCCATCTCTCACATCTTCAGGGGGTCAGAGGTGTCGTCAGCTAAGTTGACGGTTGTTTACTTTCGGTTTGCAGGCGTTTTCGCGTCACTACTATCCACATGAAAACATCAGACTCTCTCAGAAGCAAGAACACAAGCTTAGATAAGTTTTTTAATACTTTCAAACCCTGTAACACTTTAATTTCTAGCCACACAGAAATCACCACCACAAAAAAGTTGCAACGCATAACTGATAAGTAGTCATTTTACAATACGATCATGAGACTAATGTTTTCAATGTGAATAACTGCGAACGCCGCTTTGTTCAGAGGCTCAAATTCGTCGTTGGCACTTGCAAACCGAAAGTAAACAACCGTCAGCTTAGCTGACGACACCTCTAAATGGGTCCCTCTGGTTGTAGTTTTAAAACTAACACCTTGTCTTCACGGGACATTTTCATGGGATTTGTCCCAAATTCGAACCGCAGGAATGAGACTTCTGGGATTTATCCCAGTTACCGTCTCCACGAGAGGGGACTCATACAGTCCTAGGACTACTTTGCGCAGGAAGATAAATTAGTTAAAGTCGAGTATTTAACCGGGATTAAAATAATAATTGCACTCAATTGACAAATATACACATTATTATAACTAAAAAAACATTAACAATGGAGTAATCGACGAAATATCGCACAATTCGTTTTCACATCTTCCTCTCTCAGTGGGTCCTAGGGGTACAAGGACCATACCTTGGTACTGGGCAAAATGTTGATAAACTCAATATTTTTCCCAACTTCGTGAGTGGGATTCTTTCCAGGGACAAGTCCCATGAAACGGCCCGTGGAGACAAGGCCTAATGCTCACTCATTAGACAATATCAACCTAGCTTTGAAAGGATAGTGGATGAAAACACTGTGGGAGGATGATTCGTGATTCGTGGGAAAATAGCAGTGAAATGTAAACTCATTGATCATGCCTTCGCTCTAAGTACTCCTTAAACATGGAAAACAATAAACAATGTACCTGTTCAACAAATTAAGAGGGAGACGGTTGCTAGGATCAAATCATGTCCCTGAAAAAGAAAGAAATTACAGATTACTGCTCTAAATTCTGGATTACCAACTTATTATTTATCAACAGTACTGTACTAAACACTCAAGGCGGATAAAGAATGGTGGTCGCATTTCGATTTTGGCTGCCATCTTGAAGCGTTGTGACATCAGGAGGGTACGGGTTATGTATGGAACGCCGTTAGTGTCAAAACCCTTTTCTTGCGCGCGCGGAATTTTTTCTGGCGCGCGGAATTTTTTTTCGGCGCGCGGAAAGAAAAAACCCGTTTTCGATGAAAATCTCTGAATTTCCGGATTCCGCGCCGGTATTCGATATATTTGCGCCGTTTGTGTCAAAACTATTTTTTCCGGCGCGGCGCTCCAAATCTGTTCCGCGCGCGGACTTTTCGATATATCGATTCCTGCTCGCCGCCGGCGCGGCGCTCCGAAATCTGTGGGAATACTGCATTACCTCCAACGGCATTACCTCCACAAGACTCCCCTGCGATATATCGAATCGATTGTGGCAATGTGACCCAAGAGGGGTTGCGGCCAAAAGCCGACAGAGAGCGCTGAAACTCATACAATGTTGCCAGTCTGTGGTTTATGATGTGTTGCCGTTGCCTACGAGGCACGGCTACACATTGCCTACGATGGCTACGTAGGCAACGGTGTTGCTTGTTAAACAAAATGAAGGCGCGAAACCAATCAGCAAATGCCCGTTCTTCTCAACAAGCCAGTTGTACGGTGGATTAATTGCAATGAAAATTGAAGGCGATACATTGTTCAAAACAAATAGTTTTCTCGACTGACCCCTTTAGTCCACATAACTCTGCCAAAACGACCCCGAACTGTGTTGCTTTTCTTGTGTGAGTCGCTTTGTTGATCTTTAGTTTGATTTTCTCGGACCGATAATGGCCCAGCCCATATATGAAGGATATCAATGAAATGAAGCGACATTTGGACTCTCTTAATAAATGTTCAACGATACTACAGAACATGAATGATCGGATGGAAATGCCGAGATTGTGGCAGTTGGTCGATATCAGTCCGTCGACAGCAAAATATATTCCCCTGCTCTCTGCTCTCATCAGCCGGTAAAAAAA